CTCCAGGCCCCAGATCAGATTTTCTCCTGTTAATTTCTTAGAATACTCAGTCAGGGCTTTATTGGGTTATATATGAAGTCTGGATAATTAATAAACAATACATTAACAAGACCAGATTGATTGTGACCAAAGCACTTTTCAATACACTTAGTTAAGCCGTCAAAATCAAAGCAGACGCTACCGCAGAGATGCCACCATGTGGAGGACAAGATAGGGGGATTTTAATCCAAGAAATCAGTGAGATGGGGAAATGTTTTTCTGCCAGATTAGTTCCTTATTCAACAGAATAACTCCACTTTTCCTCTCTTTGCTGTGTTCAGCATGGCAGTAGGTTTTTATCTGACGTCAGACGTCTTGTAAATCCACCCCAGGAGTGCAGGGCTGTAAGCTGCACCTCGGAGATAGAATATTAAGGATTAGGAATTCAATCACACGAACTGTATTTCCCGGAGATTGTTAAATAAGTTAGAGCACGCTTCATTTGCTGTGTCTGGGAAATCTTTAGAAGCAATCTGACGAATTGCCAGGTGAGTAAGGCCAGGATATCAATGGTATATAAATTCAGGAGAAATATGATCATCGTCTTCTGATCTGCTATGGTGTGCGATAAGAATATGATTGACGTGATTGACAGTGTAACATTGACAGTATTGAGGAGTGACAGGCAGTAAGTATATAGCTGTGAACATTTGGAGGGGCACTTTAGGGGCAGATCCAGAGATGTTTTCTGACAGTCTTTCAAATTATCTTTGTAAATCCATCCTCCATTTTTGACCATCTTCCGACCGAGAAAATTAGATGCCCATCCATGTAAACTTTAAAATTTTGACTGTCTTCCAAAAATTCTGAACATTTTCCAGACGACCCAGAAGACAGCCACTGTCTGCCCCTGCTTTATGATGTAATCTCAGGTAGATATCTGTACTCTATCCAAGACATGGCCAGGGGTGATGGACAGTGTTTTGGCTGTGATATGATGTTATGTAGCAGTGACCACCACTTGACCACTGTGTGGGCGGCTGTTGGTCCAGGGTTTGTTATTTTGTGGTTTGTCCAAAAAGGAATGTCCACAATGGCTTTACATGGCTATGGTGTATTATGGGTATATATATATTGTGTAAGGAGAAGAGGTATTGAGTCAGAGATTATCTTTATCTACAAATATGACATTTCAATTAAAATTCTTCTCAGATATTTTTAACACATTTTATTCTCATCCTGAAAACTCTTAGGTGGGCCTATTTGATGAAAGAGGTTTGTCTTCACTTAAAATTCTACTTCGATTGAAATAAAATGAAAGCTTTCTTAATATGGTAAGGCAGTGTGAAACAAGTATTTATTCACTAATGACATAAGTTGTCACTTCCTTATAAGACTTGTGAGACTGCTGCTGTAATAATGGTTCTATAATTATAGCTAACTGACAATGGTTGGTTTAATATTGGAGACACGCTGGCTGACCTTGTGGGTGGGGCAGTACGGTCAGCTGGCTGAGGTGTGCGAATGTGTGTGTGTGTGTGTGTGTGTGTGTGTGTGTGTGTGTGTGTGTGTGTGTATTCTTGTGCATGAGAGATAAAGAGGGAAAGACAGCAATTTCAAAAGGGGTTTCTTTTTTTGAAAAAAGTGGACCTTTTACAATGAAACTTAGATCAAATTTTGTCCAGAATGGACCTTTTCCTGACAAAAAAAGGTGGTTCCTTCGAAACCTCCCCCCCCCCCCAAACCCCCCTGGCTACAGGCCTAAAAGAGGATCTAAACAAATATGATATATACAACATGAGAGGAAGTAAGACAAAAAAGGCAGTTATGTATTGGAAAGGCCTCAGGTCATGTAATATCATAAATTAGCCATTAAACTTAACTGTCCACCCAGTGTCTGGAGCACATGACACTGGCCACAATATAGTGATAATTGTTCTATAATTACTGCTAATGAGCTGGGCTGGGGTGACCAGAGGAGCCAAGAGGATCCATGTCCACCTTAGCCTGGGGCTGTGACTGATGGTGTGCCACATGCAATATGCCTCACGACTCCTCAGACAATACCAGTGACTGGGAGAGAGAGGAGGAAATATTTGGAGGACACACACACACACACACACACACACACACACACACACACACACACACACACACACACCAGAGAGAGAGAGAGAACGAACAGAGGTGAAAGCTGAATAAGATGGAAGAATGGTGAAAAAAAAAAAGCATAAATGAAAAATGAAAGAATGAGATGAATAGGAACCAAGAAATTAGTTATAACCTGAATAATTATGTAGCATAGGGACCATGTCCAAGAAAAAGTTCTTTAAATATATTCAACACAGATGTCAAAACAGATGTCGGTATATATTTTTGTGGTCTTTAATGGAAAAACTCCAGAAGCTGTGACAGTGTCTACTTATTGTTCCACTCTCTCCACACTGTGGACCCTAGCTAGGTGCACACAGGTGTTTGTCCAAGAATTAAAACCCAGAAATCCGTTAATTAAGCCACCGGTCCCAGTGTTTTTTGGTTGTGATCTTCCTGAGCCGGGTGCAGTGTTAATGGAGAAGTATTGACACACTGTCCATTTCTCCATTTTACTACTTCCCCTCCGTGTTTTTTTAAGTCAAATAAAAAAAGCAGTATTTGTTCCCTTGAAGTAGGAGTAAAGAGTATAGGAAGCCCTTTGTTGTTTGGGAAAAGAAGAATTGGTCTCAAAAATTATAGGGGTGTATTTATTTAATGTTAAAGGAAAATGTGAAGGCGAACTTTTGTTTTCTGATTTTTTTTTCTTTTTGAATTTATGTAATTAAAAATTGCATTGTCTGTATGAAAGAAAAAGTTATTTCTTTGACACATGACAAATATAGTGCTATTGTAGCATCGTATCAAATAAGTAAACAAGAAAAATACATTAAAATGCAAAAAAATGAATTAAATAATTAAAATCTGGATCGATGTTTACTTGCAAAACATCCCAAAATATGATTCTGCCCAATGCTAGGTATTACAATAGAAGGTGAACGGTCCATGACCCATTAACTCAACCATAACAGCCACTAACAATGGCTTAACACAGCAATGGATGACCACCATGCTAATATTGATAAATATTTCTAGTCAGTTGAGGTAAATATGGAACAACTGGCTGATTAGTTCAGAATTTTTCTTTGTTTGCCTCACGCGTGTCTGCAAAAGAGCACTTGGGCCGAGTGAAAAGAGAGACATTGGCCGTAGTCACATCACGAAAACAAACCTTGAGATTGGTTTGGGTCCAGAATCAATTACCTTTTTGTTGTATACAGTGCAAGAGATGATGATTGCAATATATAACTGGATCCACAGCATGAAGACAAGCAACCAACGCTGGTATTTTTGTAGAGCTAATTCTTGCAAAGCTGTATCTATCGTTTCCTGTGAGTTTTTTTTAACCCTATTCAGGACCAAAAGACAATCTGCAGTGTGAATTGTTCCGTAGTTCACATGTTTTCTGGTCACCCCCAATTATAACCAGGAGCTATGTGTGAAATATTTCCAACCTGGGATTATTCTTTAGCTGGCTGATGTTTTGGCAAATAGTTGACATTTAATCTTTTCACGCCTCACCTCAGGCGCAAAGATTACGCCATTATTGTTTGCTTAAACATTCCACGCCCATAATTGGTGTTATTTGGTCAATACAGTCGGTTCATTGACCAGTTCATTTGGTCAGCGATCTGTAACAGTGACAGTGGCACAATACAATTTGCAACAATGTATCACAATGTATCCAGACCTCCTACTGACATACCGTGGCTAATGCAGTGTTAATACGGGCCTGGAATTCTGGCTGAGGGACAGGTTAAACGGTTACCTACTAGTAGTTTTTACACAAGGTATTGTCACAACTTCTGGACAATTCTTACATGAATTGATGCTTGCATGAACATAGAGGTTTATATTCTTGTGGTATTTGGTCTAAAGTTGCTCAGATTCGTAAAAACCTGTTTTGGGAAAAAATTGCCATGAGGCATGTCCATTCTTATTTTGAGATTCATCAATCAGGGTTTTGAGTAGGAAAGTACTCGACCCTCGGAATAAAAAAATCTAATTACTCGAAGACGTTCTCCTCCCTAATCCTAGACATATTCCATTGAAGTATAACATGGATGAGAAGATTGGATTTGTTCAGTAACTGGTGTAGTATTGGTCTTCTGTTGTGTTCAATACCAATCAATCTTACTTAAAATGGAGTTTAAAGGTAACCGAGACAATCCAGTTCGTTTCACTTTTAGTTCCATCGGAAACTGTGTTCCTCTACTCCATTAGTGGCAGATAAGGGGAGGATTGAATAAACGGAAAAATGATTCAAATCCATGGCTTTTTGTCCTTAAAATGCAACAAAAATGAAATAATGAGAGACGTGTCTTATGAAGGTTTTTCCTCTAACAGCTGCTACAGTTGTAGTATTGATTGCAAGATGTAAGAGATAGCCACTTAACACACACACAAAGAGAGCTCTAAGCGGTTTTTGCTTTTTACATTTCAATTCACGATTAGTAAAACTTTCTGTTTGTCAACATTGGAGAATTCTGTAAATAGAAACCACAACTGGTCCGTGATTCAAAGTGTCAACACTGGAAGTAGTTAGGTGGCCCAATATGCCGCAGTAGCTGTTCTGAATAAAAAAAAGGGTGTAATGTGTTGATAATAATAATAACTAATGCCCCAACATTGGCATCTAACTTGATAAGGTATAGATTTGTCAGGCTGCATCGATAACTATCTTTTCAGCCCAGCTGACGAAAACGTTAATTAATGTTCAATTAATTCGCTTGCCAGCTGTACCTGAATAGACGCTATTGTTTGCTTGCACTATTTGGTGGAAAAACAAAACAACTCGGGGAGTCTTTGAAAGGCTAGGCTACTTTATTGATCAGTAACCGACAGAGTATGTGACAAAGATACCATTCGTCCAATCTCGCCCAGGTTTGTCGAGGAGAGCGTTTTAGTCATGCATATGTTTGTGGATTAACACTGCAGTGAAACAATAAGTGTTTAAGCAGGGAATGACGGATGTATCATGGGGGAAGTCATGTACCAGTGGCTGGATCCTTTTAATGTTTTAGAACAACAGCGCACGCCAGAGTTTTGGTGTTATGACAGCCTCAAGGTGAGTGATGTTGTCACCAGATTGGTATCAGCTTACTGATCAGGTGTACTTTGGCTGGTCTGTTTGCATGGAAATAAAGTATAAAAATTTTGAATACTTATCGAAAGATTAGGAAACCTGTTCTGTAAGTAATTAATTGGGCGATTCCTAGGTAGGAACTTTGCCAGCAAATTGTGTGCTTGTCTACCATTTCAAATGTCTGTAAACAAATTGATTGTGTGTTGCACTAATAATGAGTATACAAGGGGATATTAAATGATTATATTATGATTTCGCTGCTTTTGATACTGGTGTTATTTTTAATTAATAATAATATACCATTTAAATTAGACACTTAGGTTTTTTGGGAGAAAATAAACTGCAAAAGCAAATTTTTCAAAGTGGAAAAAAACAAAAGTAAAAAAAAATTAATTAATAAATGGAAGAAATCATGTTATATGCTTAGGCCTGGATCAATTTTTTAACCTATGCAGCTAAATTTAAGTCCAACATGGTGATATCATCTATATATGTATATTTGCTTTAGAACAGCATATAGTCCACCCGGTGAACTCACTCACAAAATAGACCAAATTTACCAGCAAATAAATTCATTTGCAGACAGTTTCAATCAGTGTTATTGGTCTCTGAAGCCTTGTCACAAGTTTATTAACATCTATTCAGGATATTTGAACAGCGATAAAGTTATCATGGACCCTTTGTCTTCAGCCGCTGTTACACTTCAACTTATCGCCATCGTCTCCACTAAGGAGAACAAACTCTTTTAAGAGTCGTCTGGCCTTATTGATTTTTATTATGAAAGTTTTGTCATCCATTTTCTCCTCGGATAGAATTGAAAAGTCTCAGCACAAGATTAGTAGACAGAAGATAGGGAAAATGACTTTCCATGAAAAAAAGTTCTGATAATTGTGTTCCGATTGAGCCCTCTTACGAGAAAGTTGGCTGTTAATAGAATCAATATGTTGCCGATGAATAGGACGACTGGTTTATTTAGTTCTGCTGCACAATTCAATAAAGGGACTTCCAAAGTGCGATACTTGCTGGATGAAAATCAATCAGGGGAAAATTTGATTTGAGCAACTGTTTATGTTAGCCATGTATGTTAGTAATAGATGACGGCTAAAAGATTAGGCACTTGCCATTGAATTCCAAGGCTGTTCCCTATAAAACCTTCCCTAATGTAATGATGTCTCCTATAACGTATCATTATTTTTGAAATGATTAAATGCCATTGAATCAGTCCTGCCTGAAAGAATGAACATAAAACGTCTGATGGCACTCGCCATATTGTGTCGCCTACAGGGGTTCTCTGGTTAATGTAGTAGAAAATTTTCTTACAGAAAACTTTGGACGTCGGTTCTAAAATTAGTCACATATTATCACACCATCGTTAGTGGAATCAATTATCATGTTCGTATGATGGGGAGTTATTTCTGGGTGTAAATGAAATGGAGAAGAGAACATTCAACAGCGTTGCTGATGTAATAAGCTACGGACCCACATGGTGGTCAGAGTAATAATACAAAAGTTGTGAACGGAATATTACACGTATGACACACGGCAAGACCTAAGAGAACGAAGAAGATTCATGGAAAAGATGGCAGTGTGCACAGTAAGTTGGAAGTCATCAGATCATAAAAAATCTTTTGAAGAAAATAAGGATAAGGGTATAATTTTTTTTGAAAAGCATTTTAATCTATTAGAAGTTTATCAACAATAAATGTGCAACTGAAAACTATTTTTAAAAAAGGCAAAAAAAGAAGCGCACATAATAGTTCTTTTTTTCTTTTTTATTATGTTTGGATAGGATTGTTCAGCGTCACCATTACTGCCATTTACTTGACTGTCCACAGTAATGCCGACCTTGAAGGCATGTTGGAATTTTTGCGGAAACTTCTCTTTGTATCGATCAGCTGATTTGGCATACCTTGCGTGTTCCTTGGTTAGATACGGGGTCGTTCACTCTTGTCACTCCTTTACAGTCGCGTGCACTGCCCTTCGTCACTGATTACCTGGGGACTCACCTGTGAAAACAGCGCATTTTAACATTGGCTAATGCTTAGAGTCACCTGTGTTTGCTGGGTATTTAACGGGACAAAAGATCGCCCCCGGGGAGAAAAAGCAGCCTCAGGGCTTCAGGTCAGGTGGCAAAGTCCCTGGGTAGCGCACAAAAAAAGGACTGATGTCACGCTGTCACAGTCAGGAGCCCCGTGACATCCGATGACATTGGTACATCTGTGTTTACTTTCTTGCTGAAATAGAAACTGTCATAGTAAAAACCCTGATTCTTATCTTAAAACACATTTACCAACTTCATCTTGCCTTTTGGTTTGTTTTGACTGAAAATGATATCAATTAAAAGCTATATCAACATCTTAATCTTTTTCAAAGTGAATAGTTATCTGCTCAGATTTTGTTACTAACCTGAGTGCAGAAATGTTTGATTTTCTCACCAAAATGTTCTGTCAAGATGTGGATCAGTGATGGTTATCAGATCATATATTGACATGTTCGCCCGGCAACATGTCAATGTTTTGTTGATTTTGTGGATAGGACCAGATGTCGTGCACTCTAGAAAGGTTAGCCATTGTTATTCAATCACGCATTGGGGAGATGAGCGCATTTTTTAACACGTGCACCATGCGAACCTGGTTGAACACGCTACATACCACGTGAGGTAATGTCCTCGGATAGAATTAGGGGCACGAATAATAACTATAACTGTTCAAACTTGTTTATTTATTTTCAGCTGCATACTTTTCCCTCCTAGTTCCTATTTTTCTCCCTGAATTGCACTCGATGACTACATGTACTTAATGTTATTAAGATAAATTTGGCAACTTTTTGGACCTGTGACGTAAATGGAAGAGCCCTGGACCTGCGGGCGTTATTGTGTCTCTCTGGCTTAGGCTACACGCTTCAACGGTTGCTATCTTTTCTGTTAATCTGCACCTCTTTTGGCATTTTTTGAAGAATTACAGTCTAATAATAGGGTTTTCTATTCTGCCTGCACAGAGTTCACAGGTGAAACACACTGAGGTGACTCCCTCTTACTTGTGTCGTTTTATGTCAACATCCACTACAATGGTTTTACTACTCTAAGGGAGTAGAAGTGTTTTTCTGCTTCATCTAGATGACTTTTAGCCAGAAAAGGTGTTTGTTATTTTTTTTTGAAGTCCTGGTAAGGACTACTGGACTGTTACGGAGTGACGGGCAAAAGCACCGTTGTCAGGTTACAGTTTGTAGACTGTTGTTTTGATTCTCTCTCTCTCTCTCTCTCTCTCTCTCTCTCTCTCTCTCTCTCTCTCTCTCTGGAGATAAAAAACAAAGGTACGAATTCTCTCTCTTCCTCCCTGCCTTATCCTCATGTTGCTCATATCACTTGGTATTGTTTGGTAAGATTGTAGATCAATACACACTTCCATCGCCATTAAGCCTGTAAAAAGGCATAATTGTTTTAATTATTGACAGACGACAGAAAAAGCAATGAGTGGAATGAAGTGTTAAATTTTTAATGAAACTGGTTCTCCCCTTCTTAATAGAGAAATTAATGAGATGGCAGCCAGAAAAGAGAGGATGTGAGGGTTCAGTGAACTCGCAGTGCTCCCAGTGACACCGAGATCCACAACTGGTTTAGTCTTTTAGTGATTTTTGAAACTAAAGGAAATTAATAAGCAGAGTCCGTGTAAAAGAAGACTAGTCATTGTTTTTTCTGTTTGACTCAAGATATTAGTTTTAATCATTGGTGTTTGTGGAGTGAAATAGGATATCTTTTAATTCAGTGGACAGTATTAGGATATGGCAGGGTGAATGCTTGATAGTTGTTTCTTTGTTTGAATCTGGAATGGTTTCTCACATTGGCCAGTTGTCTTCATGAATTCTGACATCTCGAAAGGAGAATGGAGAACTTATTTATAATATATAAAACATTAGGTTTACCTGAAGAAAATTTTAGTCAAGTATTCCCACAAGTCACTTATGACATTTGCATATACATGTAGATCAATTACTTAAAAATATTAGTTTTGATTAATAATATTTGATATTCTATAGCCTATAAACACATTAGTTAGAAAGGGACAATACTGTCCTATTAATTGAAGCTAAGAGATTATCACCAGTCCGTAAGCTAAGGTAAATGCCATGTTATACTGTGGATTACTGTACGCATTGTAATAATTATTAATAATCCAAAATATCATGCTTCAGGACGGAATCCAAACATTGACAATCGCAACAGCTTGTGGTCTTTTTCACCATTCATTATGATATTTAAAAGAAAGCAAAATATCAGATAAAAAATTCATAGAAGTTAAGAATGCAACATGTGACAAGGAAGCTGTTATTTACCACCTCCATTGAGTAAAGGCAGGCTGGAAATAAAACACATTAGAAAGTCAATAAACAAACAAGCGAACAAATGAGTTATGTGTGGCAAATAAAAAGGACTGCTGTATTTGGCAACTAAGTGAACATTTTATTGGCAGATACTGTATGGAGAGAGAGAGCGAGAGAGAGAGAGAGGGGGGATATGAATGTGCTAATCTACGTCAGCAATCTTCCCAGTTTTTCTTTTGTTATACAAGCAAATCATGTAAAAATATTGCAGAGCTTTGTAATCAGGAATCGGGAAAAGGAGACAGGTGTGTTCTCTTCCTGAATGTAGCCTGAGAAGTCTCTTTGATCCAATAATCCAGGAAAAGACATCACCTGCTCCCACTGTCAATACTCCTGGAGGTACATTGTTCAGAGATCACTTCTATTGTTTAAAGATCTCTTCTCAGTGCATTTCAGATAACACAATTTCAAGGGGATGAAGAGGGCGGGCGGGTGATGAAACTGTTTTCAGAAGATCTGGAATGATCTGTGGGTTATTTGAGGCATACTGATTTCATATTTTTTAAAAGAAGATACAAACCTCTTCAGGTGGGATCTAGTGAAAAGGGCTGTTTTCCTCAACAAAAATGTGAAACTAGCCATTGATGACAACACAGCCAACA